TTTTCTTTCACTTTAATTCAACTTTCTAAATCTTCAATACACTCTCCTACTTATTACTTCTTTTTTTCTTTTTTTCTTTTTTTCTTTTTTTACTAATTGGCGTTTCGTGTAGCAATTTCGAGTATGAACTAGAAACTAATGATGAATTTGTAAAACTAAGTTCGAACTGATCTTCGATCGAGAAGAATTGACATGATTATTATTTTATGGAGGTTTAAGGGAGTGTAGTAGAGTTATGCTGTTTCAATTTGAAGGAAGAGTCGTTTTGGTGGTGACGGTTGGAGATTCACCTCTCGTGTAAGGTAATTTTAGGATTGTTTTAATAAGATCTGCGATTCTCGTGAAGGAATAGAGAACAAGTTAAGGCAACCTAAAAGATTGAAAGTTGATGTGAAGAAAGAAAATTATCGGTATTGTTCGAGTGTATAAGTTAAAAAGAACGAGCTTTGTAATGTCCCATATGGGTTAGGGAGGAGAACAAATCATCATTTATAAGAGTGGGGAAACCTTCCCCTAGTAGATGCGTTTTAAAGCCTTGAGGGGAAGCCCAAAAAGGAAAACCCAAATAGGACAATATCTGCTAGCGGTGGATCTGGGCCGTTACAAATGATATCAGAGCCAGACACTGGACGATGTGTCAACCTTCTCGCTGTTCTCCGAAGGGGGGTAGACACGAGGCGGTGTGTCAGTAAGGACGCTGGGCTCCAAAGGGAAGTGAATTTGGGGGCGGTCCCACATCGATCAGAGGAAGGAAAGAGTGCCAGCGAAGACGCTGGCCCCAAAAGGAGTGGATTGTGATGTTCTACATGGGTTGGGGAGGAGAACAAATCACCATTTATAGGGGTGTGGAAACCTTCTCGTAGCAAACGCATTTTTAAAGCCTTGAAGAAAAAGCCCAAAGAGGACCATATCTGCTAGCGGTGGATTTGGACCGTTATAAGCTTTTTCTTTTTTGTTCTATTGACTGGTTCAATTTGATCGACCCATTTGATCCAATTAAATCAATTATAATTTTTTTTTTTTGTTAAAGTTTGACTTTTGTTTATTGTTGTTTTTTTTTTTTTCCTGATTTCAATGGTATTGATATTTTCTCTTATTCCAACTCATGCATTGCTTATAAGATAAAAATGTTATTGGATGTAGCTATAACATTAAGTGATTGATAGTTTGTAAATAGCTTACTTGGATAAGAAATTCATATCGACTTTCATTATTGAGCCAGAAAGAGTATTATATGTCATAACTCGACGACCTGATAGTTTGTAAACTCTATACGAAATTATAAATTGGAATAATCGGAATGTAAGAAGGATTTAGAAATTTTTAATAAACGAAATAAATAAGCTATAACATAAACTATAAACTATTATATTATCTAAAGCCTAGCTAAACCATTATTGTGCTAGACTTGTTGTATACCAAAGATAACATGTGGGGTGTCATTCCCTATAAAAGTCTAATGATTAATTGCTAATTGTATTGTAGGGTCGTACTTAAATGATTAATTGCTACTTGTATTATATAGTCAATTAGTTTAGGTATATGACCTCACCCTAATCGTAAATTGCTAATTGTAATGTATAGTCACATTCTAGTTGTTAATAGTTGATAAAACCAACTATTAAGTAAGTCACGGTACATCAATAATTATGATATGAGCTTAGAGGAGATAGACTATATGATATCGAGAATATTGAAATAAGTCACATGACACCAATGATTAAAATAAACTTGGAAGAGCTGTAAGGTTGTAAATCCAACTATTTGGTTAGGCGAGGTGGTAGAGATGAATCGGAGTGGCACAATGACGAGCTAAATAGAAAATTTAATGGAGTAAAATCAGGTTTAATATTGTTTTAGTAATTGATTGACTCAAAAGAGGTGATGATTTATTGATATAAGAAAGCTGTATGGTAAAAAAATTGACTTTTTGGTATGTGTTAAAAATGCAAGTTATTATACGAGGAAACAAAATATTTTAGATTAGTCGAAGCATAAAAGACATTACCCAAACAGAGGTCTAGAGTGAAAATGATCAACCCTCTAAGGGAGGTCAAGTTGGCCGTGAGACCAACTTCTAAATAGAGGTTAGGTTGGGTTTGAGACAAACCTTTTAGGACAACTCCAACTCAAATAACTAAACCATGAAACTGACCCCTAGTGGTCAACTAGCTCAACCATGGAGCGACCCCTAACGATAAGCTCACTCGAATAGAGGACTACTCTAAAGAGTTGGCTAGCTAGACCATGAAGATGACCTTTAAAGGTTAGCTAAATTGGCTAGCACAACCATGAGGTTGAATCTTAAGGGATAACTAGTTCAATTAGCTTACCATGAGGCAGATAAGGGATTAATTAGGCTTTGAGATGAATACCTTATGGTTGGCTCAATCGTGGAGCAGAAAGTCCTAAGAAATCGATTTGATCAGCAAATATCAACTCAATTGTAGTCTAGCTTGAGGCTCCATGTGCTAGTTGTCCAACCGTCATTCTTCTCCTCTAATAAGAGTATCTCAAGATTAATGAGAAGAATGTCGGGAGAACGTTGGCAAACTCCATCTTCTGTTTTGAAACGTATTTCTATACTATCTACGTTACTCAAAAACTTGATTCTAACTCGAACATCAAACCGTGAATAATTTAGCACCTAAATTTGGATAGGTAGCACCTAAGCTAAGGTAAGGTAGCTAAATTTTAGTCTTGTTTTTCATTAAATAGGGTAATTGTTGTAACTTGCATATATGGGTTTGTGTTTTTCTGGAGTGGGACCCACAGTGTGGCATGCTGCTGGGTCCATGATGTTCCATGCTGGTCGTGTGGGACCACTTTCTTTCTTAAGAAAAACAAAATTAAAATTGTTGAGAAGATAATGATGGGAGTTTGAACGGTCGAGATTCTCTGTCTTCACTCAAGTACAATCCAAAGGCATTGATTGACTCAGAATCAGACGGCAGAGGTGGCATCGCATTTCTGCTGTTTTGTGCCCAATGGACAATCAGACGGTTCTGAAACTGCCAAATCACAGATGGGCTTCGTCACTGGGCTGGGCTGAGCTGGGCCCAACGTCGAGATTGTGAAAAACAAATAACATTTATTTATTTATTTTAAAAAAAGTTTGAGACAAGGTGTCCAATCACACAAGGTTTTTGAAATCCAGGCCCGTACACAGATTTTTAGTTTCTAATTTAATATTTCAATTTACTTTCTATAGTTTTTTAATTATAATTTGATATTTATTTGAAAATCTATATATAAAAAATTTAGTTTAATTTAATTCCTATATATTTAAATTGAATTTAGTTATTATGCCCTATTAAAACTTTATTTCAAAACCCGTACTTTTTTTTGTCACGTCCAAAATTTAAATATAATTAGATAAATCAAATAAAAATTATCATTTATTTTTTCACGTAATAAAATAATTTAGAATATTCGTATGATCCACTAATATGCGAAACTTATCCCTTTATAATCAATTAAATTATAAATATAGGTAAAGATGAATGAATTTAAATAATTAGAATTAAACAAACAATTTTATGTGCAATAATTGTGTTTTATTTTATTTTTTCTTTCTATTTTGAAATGATAAAGTGATTAATTTATTTTACTTTCTTTTTTTAGTTGGTCCCCCTCGAATTTATTTATTTGTTTACATCTATAATTTGAAATCAAAATAATGACGTAACTTATTATTAGTAATCATAAAAATGCTTTTGAAATCATAACCATTTTAAACATCTTTAAATTATTGTTTTTTTAGGAAAAAAAGGTGACTTTTTTATAAAAGTAATTAATAAATTATTAAACTTGTCTACTTTTTTTTAAAACCAAATCTAAAATCTTGGTTAAGTTTATTATTATTATCATTTTAGTGGCAGACCTGTTATTTTACGATTTAAAGTTTTCTTAAAAGGCTAAGAAATGAATTATGAACAAATAAATCTAATTTTTTTTTATTAAAAATTACAATTGAAATTATCATTTCGAATCTTAAAATTAATCATACAGAATATAAATTGTTGCTACTACGTCATGTTGGAGAGGGGAACAAAGCATTAGATGCGTTTTAAGACCTTGAGAAAAATTTGAAAGGAAAGTCAAAGAAGACAATATGATATGAATCAAGACATATTGATCATGCAATATCAACGACACATTAAGAAGAATAAAGTTTCATTTATGCAACAAAAGCTTCAAGATACTTGGTGTTTCATTTATGTACTTAGGTTTTAAGACTTCTTATTTAATTTTAGGTTAAATTTACATAATGATTAATTATGATCATAAAATATGAAGATTACGAACTGAGGTCAAAGAGTTTTATTTTGAAACTATATAAAACCCATGTATGTTATGTTTGTAAAGGCGACTTAAAAAATGTAATAAAAAGAGCATTTTTGCTTTCGTCTTGCCAATAGTTAAGTTTCTTTACAATTTTATGTAGTTTAGACTACATGTTTAGAATCATTCAAATTTAACAGGATCGATTGTACTTGTGGAATTATTCGAATCTCAATCAAGTTTTCTTACCGTGAGATATTTGATCAACCATATAATTCAAATCTTACTTTCTGTTTTGAGTGATTTTTTATCACTAAGGCCACGTGTTCTTACCTTTACCTTTAGTCAGTGCTAAGTTTATTTACAATTGTATGTAGTTTAAACGACATGTTTAGAATCATTCAAGATAGACATTATCAACCTTACTTGTAGAATGATTTGAATCTCAAATAAGTGTTTTTGCTTTGAGATATTCGATCAACAAAATAATCTAAATCTTACTTCTTTGGTGGTGATTCCTTATCATAATATTTGCTAACGATGAATTTAAGCTGTTACAAAATGGTATCAAAGTCATATACCGGAGCAGGAAGAGGAACGAAGGGAAAGTCCAAATAAAACAATTATGTGTTTTTTAAATTATTTATTTTTCTTATTCTCACTCAATTAATCGAGATAGAAACAAACCAAACAAAAGTGTACCGACTCGACACGTATGTTTGAACCTCTATTGAGGATCGAATATATTTAAAAGAAAGCGCTCGTACATGTAAATATGAAAATAACACAATCATTCCCTTATTTATTTGGATGAAATTTGGTAGCATAGTTATAACATAACATTATAACATCTCTCAAAGTGGGTGTGGGCTGCTGTCTCAAGGGAGAGTGTACTCTGCAAAATCAAAACCACATTATTCAATATATTTGTTTCAGATTAAAACTATGGAATTTTAGAAAATCTAATAATTCTTTACAATATTTAATTTCATTTTGGTCGATTTAAATATTAAAAAAATTAACTAATAAAAAAGGAAACAATAGCTCTGAGCTTACTCCCACATTTCTTGCCGGCGGGACGGTTTCTGATGTTGCAGCGTTTGGGGATGGTAATGGCAATGGCCGGATTAATTCCGGCCTGCTTACTCACCGGCGAAAGCAGAATAGCGCACAAGCATTTCGGAGAAGTATTAAACATCGCCGCCACTCTGCTACAGCAAGCCGGCGAAACCTTAGCTCTGGCATCCCTGGTGGCCGCCAGGCACGGCGTCAGCCCCAACGCCGCGGACTCTACCGGTGTCTTCCCGCACTCTCCTGCCGCCCCAGCTGGGGCAATGAAACCCTCGGAAGCCACCAGAATTACAAACACCGCCACAATGAGAGGTTTTGAAACAGAGGAAAAGGAGGCCATGATTGTAAAATGTTGATTGATGAAGCAGAGATGGAGTTGGGTTTTGGTTTAGCATGAATTGGGTGAATTTATAGTATGTGTAGTGGGGTTGTTTGGTGAGTTAGTGGGGTGGTTGTGTGGGAAAATCTGGAAGAATTGCGTGGGATTCTTGTTTAGTATTGGGTTTTCTTGTGGAACAATCATTTGGATTTGGAAGCCCTTATAAATTATCACTATTGTTCTAATGCTTAATGCCCCATCATGGATGAACTCAGGCGTACGTGATCACGAACCCATTTTTAATTAACCATTTCAACAAACTTGGTTTATAGATTTAAATGAATACAGACCAACATTCGATAAAATTGGAATAAGCCACACGAAAATAGAAATAGGTGGACATGTGACAATGGAGTAAAAAAGGGACATATAAATGAACTGATATCAAATCCGAATCAAAAGTAATTTCGAACTAAAAATCCGAATTAAAAGTAATTTTGAACTAAAAATAAATTAAAGGAAGGAAGGATGGAAAGTTGGAAGAGAATGATGAATAATGATTCCACTAACATGTTTGTGTGCCATCAGCGTTACACGTGTAATGGTAGGCATTATGAAGACTTGTCATTGGGTTGTTGATGCACTAAGAAATAAACAACAATAAATTGAAAACCTTACAAGAAAGCTTAATATTTGTTATTGGTGAGCTTGAACCGTTACACCTCGTGAGCTTAGCCTGACTCAATGCACTAACGCATCGTTAGACGCCACAAAAGGAAAATGCTCGTATGATATCATGATGGACATAAATATCGAAACTAGTGTCCATACTAGCATAATGTAACAGGGAATGCACATGACATACATAAATGCATGAGATTCCCATAGTTTTTAAAGTCTTGTCCTTGACGATGCGTGTGTTCGTCGGAAATCTCACAAGGCATTCGTTCCCTCTCTATGTCAACTCATACTCCACACTCTTGTTGGTGTGTCCTTTAGGGACGTGACCGAGTGGAGTGTATTTTGCCCTCGACGATACACTATTTTATTTTTCTATGTTCTATTAAGTCTTGCCCTCACAAATCATATATTTAAAGAAAAAAAAAATTTGTGCGTAGAGAGTAACCATCGGAATCAAAAGAACAAAAGAAATTAAATTGCACCAAGTAATCAAAATATTCTAAATAAAAAATAAAAAAAAAAACTTCTTAATTAAATAATCTTCACACTCCCACATGAATCCAAGGCTTTTGAATTCATTGCTTTAATGCTCATGAAAAATCATGATCTTACTTTTCCAAGTTTGAGTAAAACGTTTGATCTTCCCCACAAGTAATGTGATAAGATAAGGAATCAACTACAAGGGGAATAAGATTCGGATTACCTTGTGGATCGAATATCTCAAGCAAAGAACATTTTGTTTGAGATTCGAATCACTCCAGAAGCAAGATCGATCATGTCTAGCTTCAATGATTCTTGTTGATCAAGTAATCTCAAACACTTGTTTGAGATTCGAATCACTCCACAAGCAAGATTGATCATATCGAGCTTGAATGATTCTACATGCAACCTAAACTACATAGAGTTGCAAAGAAACTTAGCCATTGGCTAAAGAAAAGCACAAATGCTTCTTTTGATATATCTTCTAAGTCTTTTCTACTTTTTCTTCCCCTTGTAGTGATTCCTTATCGTATCATAATGCCTTTTGAAATCACAACTTCGAACTATATATACATTATGTTTGAGATCCAATGAATACTCGCATCAACCATGGCTGGGTTTGTTGACGGTATTACATATTGTGGATCAGTAAGCGAGAAGACCATAATGCATTACAAAAGCTCTCATACCATACTTCTGGTTGGAGAAGGCGACTTCTCCTTCTCGGCATGCTTGGCCAAGGCCTTTGGGTCTGCTGCCAACATGGTTGCCACTTCCCTCGACTCTAATGGTAATAATGTTGTAAATTGTCATAAGTTTTGATTTGATTTGGTTATTTGGATTAGCTTTGATTTGATTATTTGAAATAGATTTGATGGGTTATTTGGATTAGATTTAGTTATATATAGGGATTTGGTATTGGAATTAAGTTTAGAGTGTCATATTGTATTTCTTTAGTGACATATTGGTGAGAGTCTTTGTAGTGTGATAGTGAGGTATTCACTTGTAACGCTTTGTTTTATGAGTGATTGGTTGCTACCAGTGGAGGTAGGGGAATTTCTTCTCTCCGAACCACGTAAATATCTTAATGTCTTTTTGTGTAATTTCGTTTATTGGTGTTGTGAGTACATTTGTTCCACTTTCAGCGAACAACAAGTGATGTTCAATGCTGTCCATTTTGAATATAAGTTTATGATTTTGTTTTAAGCTTTCTCAAAAAGCTTCTTGCTATTGGAAATGTATTATTTATTTATAAACTATTATCATTTTCTAAATTAGCTAATGTTATACTTTCTTCCAATAATCTTCAACAGAGGTGTTGCTGCGTAAGTACAGTCGTGTGGCTGCCAACTTAGAAGCGTTGGGGCTGCTCGGTGGCACGGTGTTGCATGAAGTGGATGCGACAGCAATGAGCCGACACTGCAGCCTTTGCTACAAGGAATTTGATCGTATAATATTCAACTTCCCACATGCAGGGTTTTCTTTCCCAGAAAGTGACGCTGTTCAAATTAAGTATACCCCTTCCTTTTTAACTTATATTTATTTAATTATACAAATGGTTATAAATAGAGAACTTTCACTATCATTTAGATCATTCGGGTACGATCGATTGACAGGTGTTTGTGATTACTTGTTTTTGATAGACTCCACCAAGATCTTGTGAGAGGATTTCTTAGGGAAGCAAGGAAATTGGTGAGTGATAAAGGTGAAATTCACATAACCCACAAGATCTCACATCCTTATTGTGAATGGGAGATTGAGAAATTGGCAAAAAAGGAGGGGCTGCTTCTGAAGGAGACGGCAGAGTTTAGTCGGTGGGATTATCCAAATTATGAGAATAAAAGAGGGGGAGGTGGCAATAGCGACCACGCCTTCCCCGTCGGTGCAGTCGGTGCATGCGCTACATTCAAGTTTGTGAGGTACTAAGGTTAAGTTCATTACTAACTCACGAATGTAGACAATATCATATTATTGTATAGATTCGTGATTTCTAATAGAATAAAAGTGACATGGGTTAGAAGGAGGACTAACATGTCAAACGAACAAATTGTCTCTCCGTCTTAATCTTCCCTAAATATTTCATAACATCTTAATGTTAATTTATCATCTAATTGATCTTAAACCCACAATCAGAAACAATGTGTAGCTATAACATGTATAATTAATTATTCGATTTGATGATGTAGTAATTATTTACGATTAATTTTTTTTAAACTTTGTTAAAATCATTTATTTGAAAATAATTATTAATATTAATAGCTAAACACACTCAAAAACTTAAAATTTGATGGTAAAAGATTTTATTTAATATATTTTACCCTCCCATATACATTATTTGATTTTTGAATAATAAGTGGGACAATATATATATACAATTAAAACAAAATATTAAATAATAATTAATTATTTTAAATGAAATAACAAACATCATTCTATGAGTACCACATACATAAATTAATTAAACAAAATATTAAATTAACTTTTAACCGCTGGTTTGTTGCTCCAATGTGCCACCAACCTGTTAAATTTGTTGCATAACCCACCGCTTTACATAAATTACATACCAAATTATGATTTGCTCAAAAGAATTTAAAATATATATATATGTATATATTATTCTATTTCAAATCTTGTGACATATATATAGCTTTAAAATTTTAGAACAAAAATAATAATAATAATAATGAAAGAAACTTATTTCCTTAACAGCAACTATGATCTTCTCATTTGGCAATTACGGTAACTGAAGGACCAGCTTGATTTGCAGCAAGCTTGATCTTCCTAGCCTTGGTTATATTCCTCCAATAACTTGCTATTTCCCTCTCTGTTTCCTTTGCCTTCTCTTTTTTGCCGTCTTCTAAGCTTGTCGATTTTCCACTGTTCTTGGGTGGCAGAGTATCAAGCTCGGCCAACACTTTGATGATATCAAGCACCAGCCGCTCTGCAAGAGTGCGCGAGAAGTCTTCTCTGATCACCACGCGAAGAACCGACACATGCTTCGCCCCCTCTGGCATTGGGTATGCCGGTACGATCCACCCGAACCGTCGCAGCATTTCCGACACCTCGAATTCGTCGTGCCGGCTTCTGTCTTTCAGAGAGAATGCCACCACTGGCACCCCCATGTCCTTCGACGCTATGCTGAACCTTCCTGTGTTTTCAAGCCCTTGCTTCAGCACCATTGCGTTGTCGTGACAATTCTGCATCACGTTCTGATACCCCTGTTGTTCATTATATTATATACCCATTATTGTTATCACCCAAATTCATTAACAAATCGAATGTTTTGACACGGAATCGAACCCATCTCTTACCTCGAAACCCAAGCGGATTAGTTGGTAATACTGAGCGATGATTTGGCTTGACCCTGAAAGCGGATTGATGGGGAAATTATTAGACTGTTGATGGGGGGGAAATGGAGTTTGATTAGAGAAATTGGGATGATCTTACCTTTGGAGAAGTTGAGAGTGAAGGTGGGTTGATCCGCTCCGAGGTAATTTATGTGGAAAATCAGCTCTTCAGGCAAATCCTCTTTGGTTCTCCAAATGACCCATCCAATTCCGGCGTAGACAAGCCCATATTTGTGCCCACTCACATTGATGCTCTTCACCAACGGAAGCCGGAAGTCCCATTCGAGGTCTGGATACAAAAACGGCGCTATGAATCCACCGCTGGCAGCATCCACATGAATTGGAGTATCCCACCCTGTTTTCTTGTTCTTCTCCACCAACAAATCATTCAACAGCTTCACATCTTCGAATTCCCCATTGTAAGTCGACCCCAAAATGGCGGCGACGCAGATGGTGTTCTCATCCACCATCTCCACCGCCTTGACAGGGTCCATCACGTAATACCCTTCTCTCACCTTCACTTCCTTCAGCTCCACTTCAAAGTACCTCGCGAATTTCTCCCAACAAACTTGAACATTCGCCCCTGTCACGATATTCGGCTTATCATAAGGCTTCCCCTCTGCTTTCCGCTTGTTCTGCCACTTCCTCTTGAAGGCCAATCCCGCCAACATGATGGCCTCCGAGGATCCCACCGTGCCAACTCCAACCGCCGTGTCGGAGTCTCCCAAGGGAGCGTTAAAGAGATGGGCAATCATGTTGACACATCGGTTCTGAAGCTCGGTGGTGACAGGGTACTCGTCCATATCGACGTAGTTCTTGTTGACAGAGTCCATCACCAGCTTATCGCACTCGGGCTCCATCCAAGTGGTGACGAAGGAAGCCAAATTGAGCCTGGGGTTGCCATCGAGCATGAGCTCGTCGTTGATGATCTGAAAAGCAGCCTCCTTGGGCATGGAGTTTTCGGGCATGGTGAATCTTGGAGCAGAGTCCCGCACATAGCGAGAGGCAAAGGTGGAATGGACAGAGACGTCCGATTCAGAGAAAGTCTTGGGAAGCACCATTTTTGGGTATCGTATGAATTTGAAAGAGAAAGATGAAAATTGTATGGAAATTGGTGGAGAAAGATGAATAGGGAAGGGTGGGTTTTATAGTACAAAAAGTGGAGAATCAAGCAGGGGAGGCAGGAACAAGCAGAGCAATGGGGATTGGTCAAAGAGCGTAGCGGTTTAACCATGCATTTGAAAATTCGAAATTTGGAGCTTATTGTTTTTGGATTATGCTTGATTTGAAAATGACAGTTCTTTTCCGGTGGAGGTTTTATTTGACGGTTCTTCTACATTTTTTTTTCTTTTTTTCCAAATATTTTCTTAGTCAATGTTCCTACTTTTCAACTCTTCAATTTTTAATTCTTACAAAAACATGTCTTAGTTGAATAAGAATGTAAACACAAGTGTTAGGTTGTTTTTTTTTTGTGTACGAACCACGAGCGTTCTTCTTATAATTCATTTATTATGACAATTAATATTGTTCCGTTAAAATATCTTATGATATGACTAGTTCCATTATTAAAGCCGTTAAAGTATCTTTTGGCTCTTGCTTTTTTGTCGATAAGTTCCGAGGTTTGTATGGTCTCTTTCTCCTAAGAATTGGGTTATAAAAGCTGGTATCAATTTTGTTAAGAAACCAATCAAAATATCTTCTCAATTTTCTAAACCACTCTATGATTCCTTCTATCAAAGTGAAGAAGAGTTACGTCTAATTCTTCAATTCTTCGTGTCTTCTGGATGTTATCTTGGATGATCCTATCTCTTTCCGTATCTCCAACTACTAGGCTTTCTAAGATGGACTATCGATCAAAGCCTAATCGATCACGACCAACAAGTGCTAGCCACCCTTAGCCAATAGGTATTGGGTGGCTTCGGTTTGATTTTTAATGCTTCGTCCTCTATTATAATCGTTCTTGATATTGTAATTTTTATTTTCTACCGTTTTCTCACCCTTGAATTCAATTGGCATGTTTTGTAGAAGATTGTTAGGAGTGAGTCACGCATTAGCTAATTTAAGAAATGATCATGGGTTTATAAGCAAACGAGTACATCTCTATTAACATGAGGCCTTTTGGAGAAGCTCAAAACAAAACCACGATAACTCATGCTTAAAGTGATGATTTTGTTTTATAATTAGATTGAAAGGACATGCAAGTACGCAGCCGCATGCCCCTCGTGAGATGTTAGGTCGACATGACTTAATTCCTTTTGTATTTTGGTCCAATTTTAAAAAAAAAAAAAAATTAAAAAAATACAAATTCAAAACTATCCTTATCTTTAGTACCACGTTTCAAAAATATACTTTAACTTTCAAGGGTAACGTTGAAAAGTTTAGAGATAAATTTATGAGATGTCGATAGACAGTTTTCATTCATACATGCTTAGACTGTAAGAATTTTTTAAAACTTTTTTATATAATAGTAAAGAGTATTTTTTAATATAGTAATAACCAGATATGTTTTTGAAACACTATATTATTTAAACAATATTTTTTTAAAAAAAATTAGCATTATTGAACTTAAAAGTTTAGTGGTATTTCTATATTTAGAGAAAATACAAAGTTTAACTAAATTTGCCCATAGGTTTGTTATTCCAAACTTCCAATCATCTAAAAAAAAATTAAAAATTCCAAGTTTATGATAATTCTGATATTCATAATTATTAATTAGAATTATTAAGTTAATTGCGTAATGCCATTTCAAACATTAATTATTCACACGTCTTTACATTTATTAATTATATTAATTAACCTCTAAAACTTTGTCTAATCTCATAAATAACATGCCAACTTGTTAATTTGAAAACCCATTTCTCCACCAAAAATTAAGACATAATTAACACCTTTTTTTTCCCTTGACATCCTAATTTATTTACATCAAATATTAACCAAAAAATAAATAAAATATGTTAATAATTATCATATTAAATAAAAAGATATATGGATTACTATTATTTAAGTTAATAAATTATTATTAAGATTATTAAAAATAGTTTTTTTTTTCAATAAGAAGAGGTTCAACAAATTAAAATAATTTATTTTTTTTAAAAAAAAAACCCATAAATTTAGTCTAACCCAATTACGAAAACTAATAAAATAATGGTTTGAAATCGGGTGCTTCCTTTAAAAAAAAATCAGAGAAAAATGGGGAAAAAAAGAAAATCAACTATTTTGAATGCTAAATAAATTAGCAAATTTATTGCGTTGAAGAGAAAAGTCAAAAGGATATGAAAGTCAACATAGAGATACGGGCAGCCGGGCAGGGCATCAAGGAATCTCAATTCTCCACGTCCCAGGGAATCAAAGTTGGACGCTGCGAATCTAATTCGCTTAATTATTTTAAATATGAATAGTATAAGTCAACGAAAGATACGGGCAGCCGGGCAGGAACCTCAATTATCCGCGTCTTTGACCAAACCAACGAATTAAATTTGGAGACGATGAATCTAATTCGCGTTAATTATTTTAAATATAAACGTCAATAGATTAAATTGTGAATTTAGTTAGAAAATTAGAATTAATTTAATAAAATTAGTTTATGATATGTTTACTTAACAACTAAGATAAACTTTGTTGAAAAGGGGAATGAAACATTCATTATAAAGATATGAAAATTTCTACCTATCGAATGCGTTTTAAAACATTGAGGGGAAGCTCGGAAGGAAAAGTCCAAAGATGACAATATCTACTAGCGGTAAGATTTGGCTGTTATGTGAACTCTATGATTAAGATAAGTTCGGAGCTAGATGAGCTAATTGAGTCTTGACCACGAAAATGGAAACGGTCTAAGATCTATACGAGAGATTTTAGTCTATGACCTATGGAAGTCCTATAAGTTAGACGCGTGGTTTAAGAACTAAAAACATGATTTATGGATTATTAAGAATCGACAAGCGAGATACTTACTGAACATTTTTATATTCATTTGAGTGTACACGATATGTAACGAGTACATACCCAAAATTAATTAGGATCTTCTGTTGAACTCTTGAATGATACCCAAAATTAATTAGGATCTTCTGTTGAACTCTTGAATGATGTATATGTAAAAACTATTTTACAAACTTTCTAAATGATTCTTGTAAATCACTTGCTTCAATGTGAAAGCATAATAACAAAGATTTAAAATATTCATGATAAACGAGATTGTTCTCGAATGCTTAGTGTGAAAGCATGAATGACTAGAAATGCTATTCATCTCTCTAAAAGATTTTTATTTTTTTTTTCCTTTTTTTTTGTGCTTTTAATAACTTGCTTGGAAATGGAAACCAGCACATTTAGAAATTATTCTTTCATTTTAGAAGCTTGTATTGTGTTCATATAATATATATTAATAATATTACTTAATTTGGATCATATTTAAAAAAATATATTTGTGAATTTTCACTTTGTTTAAAAAATACTCGTGAATTTTAAAAAAAATTAAAATATACCTACCATTAATTTTAAAGGTAAACCGCTAATATTTTATTTTAAAAAAATATTATTGAAAAAAGTTGGTAAAATATAAATATATAAATATAAAATGTGGAAAATGGGAATTGTTAGGGTCAATAAAACCGCCGCCAGAAAAGTTGTGTCCTTCCAAATCAGACCATCAAAACAACATGCTTGCCAAACCGGAATTCTTCAAATTGTACGGTCAACGATGACTGGTTTGACGGATTTGCTGTGGTGCCCTCAAAGAAAACCATATTTCTATAACCCACCCCAGATTCTTCGGGTTTCCGGGCCCCACCCGCTATTGCCAATTACAATGGTCAAGCTGGGTGATTTCTTGAACTTCAAGGCAGGGTGTTTAATTGATTCTAGATCTCTCTATTTTTTCCCCCTTTTTTTAATTATTATTATTATTGATTCTAGAAATTAAATTGAAATTATAATTTAAACCCTATGACGTATATATATATTATTTATGATGATATAACACACGTTTTTTTGTTCAACCAATTTAATTTTAGGAGAACTATGAGCCAATATAATCTATTAATTAATTAATTAATTTATTTGAACTAAACCCGCAATCTAATCTACCTTTTGAACACCTCCAACTCTCATTAAATTTAATTTATAATTCAATTTCTAATTTATTTTTGTCAAGTAATGAAATAATTAAAATGATTAAAGTGTTTCTTCGGGTATTTTTGGTATTTAACCAATACTTGAAAGTGCTTGGAAATTGAATAAGTTGGGTATTTTAAAAAATAAAAATAAATAAATAAAAGAGAATAATTTGGTAAAAGGACATAAATGGTATTTCAACCAACAAAATTTGACCCGGTCAGATATTTAATAATTTAATTGTGACCTTCTGCTGTGTTTCCAAAGGCAAGGAACCAGAGGTCGATTCTCCACACTTTTTGTACTATAAAACCCACCCTCTCTTTTCATCTTTCTCCATCAATTTCTGTACAATTTTCATCTTTCTCTTTCAAATTCATACAATACACAACAATGGTGCTCTCCAAAACTTTCTCAGAGTCGGATGTCTCTGTTCATTCCACCTTTGCCTCTCGCTATGTGCGGGACTCTGCTCCAAGATTCACCATGCCCGAAAACTCCATGCCCAAGGAGGCTGCTTTTCAGATCATCAACGACGAGCTCATGCTCGATGGCAACCCCAGGCTCAATTTGGCTTCCTTCGTCACCACTTGGATGGAGCCCGAGTGCGATAAGCTGGTGATGGACTCTGTCAACAAGAACTACGTCGATATGGACGAGTACCCTGTTACCACCGAGCTTCAGAATCGATGTGTCAATATGATTGCCCATCTCTTCAACGCTCCCTTGGGAGATTCCGACACGGCGGTCGGAGTTGGCACGGTGGGATCCTCGGAGGCCATCATGTTGGCGGGATTGGCCTTCAAGAGGAAGTGGCAGAACAAGCGGAAAGCAGAGGGGAAGCCTTATGATAAGCCGAATATCGTGACAGGGGCGAATGTTCAAGTTTGTTGGGAGAAATTCGCGAGGTACTTTGAAGTGGAGCTGAAGGAAGTGAAGGTGAGAGAAGGGTATTACGTGATGGACCCTGTCAAGGCGGTGGAGATGGTGGATGAGAACACCATCTGCGTCGCCGCCATTTTGGGGTCGACTTACAATGGGGAATTCGAAGATGTGAAGCTGTTGAATGATTTGTTGGTGGAGAAGAACAAGAAAACAGGGTGGGATACTCCAATTCATGTGGATGCTGCCAGCGGTGGATTCATAGCGCCGTTTTTGTATCCAGACCTCGAATGGGACTTCCGGCTTCCGTTGGTGAAGAGCATCAATGTGAGTGGGCACAAATATGGGCTTGTCTACGCCGGAATTGGATGGGTCATTTGGAGAACCAAAGAGGATTTGCCTGAAGAGCTGATTTTCCACATAAATTACCTCGGAGCGGATCAACCCACCTTCACTCTCAACTTCTCCAAAGGTAAGATCATCCCAATTTCTCTAATCAAACTCCATTTCCCCCCCATCAACAGTCTAATAATTTCCCCATCAATCCGCTTTCAGGGTCAAGCCAAATCATCGCTCAGTATTACCAACTAATCCGCTTGGGTTTCGAGGTAAGAGATGGGTTCGATTCCGTGTCAAAACATTCGATTTGTTAATGAATTTGGGTGATAACAATAATGGGTATATAATATAATGAACAACAGGGGTATCAGAACGTGATGCAGAATTGTCACGACAACGCAATGGTGCTGAAGCAAGGGCTTGAAAACACAGGAAGGTTCAGCATAGCGTCGAAGGACATGGGGGTGCCAGTGGTGGCATTCTCTCTGAAAGACAGAAGCCGGCACGACGAATTCGAGGTGTCGGAAATGCTGCGACGGTTCGGGTGGATCGTACCGGCATACCCAATGCCAGAGGGGGCGAAGCATGTGTCGGTTCTTCGCGTGGTGATCAGAGAAGACTTCTCGCGCACTCTTGCAGAGCGGCTGGTGCTTGATATCGTGAAAGTGTTGGCCGAGCTTGATACTCTGCCACCCAAGAACGGTGCAAAATCGAGAAGCTTGGAAAATGGGACTAAGGAGAAGGCAGAGGAAGCAGGGAGGGAAATAGCGAGTTATTGGAGGAATATAACCATGGCTAGGAAGATGAAGCTTGCTGAGACTCAAGCTGGTCCTTCAGTAACAGTCATTGCCAAATAAGAAAGAGGACACTCCGCAATTTTCGATGGGTTTAAATCCAATCAAAAGAAAATAACATTTTTTTTCTTTCCATTTATGAAATTTTGAGATTGAACTTCATATGAGTTGTATTGTAATTTCCTTTTTCCTCTTATGGTAATGTAATGAGTTCTTAAATGGAATAATAAAGTAACTTCATTTTAAAATTAAAACTCCATGCATATGTATTCCCAATCTTAAAATTAAAACTCCATGCATATGTATTCCCAAATCTTTAAAAAATTAGATTAAAAATATCAAACAAACTCAGATGACTCTCAGAGAGGCTTTTGTTTTTTTTTTGTGCTCTTGATCCATCTTTGAGTACACTAGAATGTCGTTTATGAACACAATGACAAATGTGTTGAGACATTCTTTTGATATTCAGTTCACTAACTCCATGAATACCGTTGAGGGTGTTAGTGAGGCTAAACGATATTACCATAAACTCATAGTGGCTGTACCTTGTTCTGAATGTGGTCTTCGACACATCCTCTTCTTTGATCTTGGAGAATATTGTCGCTTCTCTGAGTTGGTTGAACAAATCTTGTATACGACGAAGTGGGTACTGGTTCTTTACTGTCCTCTTATTTAGTTCTTTGTAGTCACTACACAGACGCATCGAGTCGATCTTTCTTCTTAATAAATAATACTGACGCATCCCAAGGAGATACACTAAGGTGGATCTGGATGGTGGTGAGAATACTACTTTCTTTTTGTAACAATCTATACTGAAATATTTCTCAACTAACCAAATCATCCTTAATATTATGTCGAAGTACATCATGCTAACACAACTATCACGTCTACGTGTAAGGTTCATTCTCCTATGATTACTTGTCCATCTCTTACTCTATCCTTAGCAACTAGGTCTACTCCACTAGGGTGCTAATGACTAATGCATGCAATAAGGGTTCTAGTTCAAACCCTACTTGGCTAACAAACGGAACAAATATAAAGGAACGCATAGAGCCTGAATCAAATAATGTTAAAGCATACCGTCCAAGGATTGATAGTGTACCTGCCACCACTGTGTCAGATTTTCGGCGTCCCTATTGGTGGACGCGTATGCCCTTGCTTGAAAACGAGTCCACATAGGTCTGTCAATTTCACTAGGTGGTCTCGGTGGATTAATTGGGTTCTCAGTTCCCCTAGCTATACAATTTAGAGCAATGTGGTCCTCCTAGTTGCATCTTAAACACGCTTTAGACCCATGCCAAATTTAGATTTTGAATCGTGATCTAAATCCTAAACTTGGGTCGTTACATTAGGTAGACAAATTAATTAATTAAACATACAATTATTTCATAAGCTAAGATGACATAGAAAAAATTTATCCTGAACAATTAAATCTCAAGGCAAGTCCTGAGATCTAATACAAAACTCATTAAACACTTGAACTTCATCGTCTTTTCTAATCATTAAAATTAATAAAGAGCCTAAATTTCTTAATTAGTATTGAACGTACTGTTATGGAATCTGAAGATTAGCTACGTTTATATCTCTAGATGTCAAGTTATCTACCCATACTCTTAGAAAGGCAGGTTGTCTTGATGAATGCGACGGCAACCAATGACATTTGAAAGTGTTGTTGACTTAACATGTTGGGAGGAGGTATGAGTCGACCTCAAATGCAGAGAAGACCAGACCATCCATACCTATCAATCATTTGTCATGAAGTAGTAGAGAAAGGATCATACCATTGTCATCCCATTCTTGAGTGAGCTAGAACTTGCTTCATAGACAAGGCTCATACCTTCTCATGCTTCGACCAATTGGTTCACCAAATCCCGGCCCAACGAGAATCAACTTGTTCTCAACCTATAAAATTGAGATTAGTTTAATCGTTGTTACATTAATTGGTTGATTCATAAATTTAGTAGGTGAAGTTAACTTCCTTCAAATTTAACCTCGATTTAGTAGCACCAATGAACTCGAGGGTAAGCAATACCAAGGTGTAGTGTCATTTTAGCGTGCAAAGATGTTATATTTGCCACATTTCTTAAGTTTAAACTCTTGGAGAAAAATCTAAGTCTCAAATTGGATATGCATCATAATCTTCATTTTACATCTTACTTTTAAATGTTTTCTTCTCTAGCAAGGTTGCAAAGATATACTTTAGCAATAAAGATGTTTTCTCATGAAAAACATATCCCAATTCAAGAAATAAATAATTGTAATGTCAACATCTTCGACGTTCTCCTGTATTTCCTGCGACATGGTCACATTACTTACTCATTGATTCTAAGAGTGAACACTTTGTATCTCCTGCGACATGGTCACATTACTTACTCATTGATTCTAAGAGTGAACACTTTGTATCTCCTGCGACATGGTCACATTACTTACTCATTGATTCTAAGAGTGAACACTTTCTCCACAGATCAATCAACACGAGTCTTTCTAAGATGTTTTGTTTTTGCTCACATGCATCATTGGAAGTTTTCGAGAGGTCACCCATCAGAAATGCTCTAAGCAAAACACACTTAACTATGATATTTTTATAATTGAGCCACCAAGACAGAAAGTGCACCTTATTAGTATAAGTAGCAACTTTCATTTTCTTTTAATTCTTTCTTAGTCATACTATCCTCAAAATCGCTTTCATTCGGATGTGGTTTCAGTTCATTCATGTCACAAAATAGAATATCATTTTTGCAATTGAAAATATAAGCAAACAAACCGTTAAATTCATTAATTTCAACTCTAAACTTAAAATTAATATCATAACTAGTTAATATTTAATTTGAAAATTGTTTTAATTTTAGTTTAGTGTATTAGAATTTAGTGCAATTAAAATCATAAGTCAAGAACTTGAAATTAAAATAGTTTGAATTAGTCAAAATATTCGTAATTAGTTAATATTTGGAGAATATATTAGTTACGAAATATATCTTAGATATTTATAATCAATTAATATTTATATTTGATTAATACTATATTTTATTTTATTTTTAAGATTTAGTCGGTTTATATTTTAATTATTTGCAGATATTAATTGGTACGTGAACTAAAATTGAACATCTCAATTTTATTTCTCATTTTGAATTTCGTTGAGTAATAATATTTTCATCTATCTGAATTTTTTTTCTCATTCTTAATTTATATTTTCAAATCTATTCACACGGGTAGATATTGTGTCACAACGTTGAAAATTAAACGAATAAACACTCTTTCTCTATTTTATGAGTGCTTTTTTAAAACCTTTTAGATAAACCAAAATAAATTAAGATATTATAAGAATTCTAATTGCCCATTTGTCGAGGAGGCACTCTAGATATGTGCGCCATATCGTTTAGGGGTGCGGTCACAATCACCAAATTTTTTTATTTCTTCTCCCAGCTACAAAAATCTAAAAATTACTATTAAAATTTTTTAAATTCTGTTCATATTTTAAAAAAATAAATTATAGTTTTGAAAAAAAAAAAAAAAATCCCAATTCCAATATGATCCGTTGGGCATCGCCCATGTGCTGATATTTATACGAGAGTCACGTTGCTTCTCCAAGTTATCCACCTTTTTATTGGAAACCTTCTGATCGGAGAAATAGAGAAATGGGTTCTCATGAGGACGACCGAGCAATCTTGGAAGAGGGTCTTTTGCAGGTTTAATCTCTCCCTCTCTCTCTCCCTCTTTCTGTTTGGATCTTCCGAGTTTTCTGAATTTAGCTGTTTCCGGTTGTGGAATGGTCAAAGGGTGTAAATCACTTGAATCTCGTACTCATAAATACTCTGCTTCCGTGATTTCATATACTTTTTTCCTGTTTTCGTTTGAATTTGTAGGGGAATATCTTCATGATATATGGAAAAGAACACGGATGGCGTTTTTACGAATTAATTGTTTGTGTAATTAACCCATTTAAGGATTTCATGACCGATGTTTACAAGTAAAAAGATTAATAATCAACTGTGAATGATTCGTTATGTACAGCCAAGTCTTGATAATATTGAAGCGTTTCATGACCATTTTGAAGGCTTTTCTAATTTAGCTTGATTATGGGAGGATTGTTCTTTCCCTAAAAGTGATTTACAGTTGATAATCTGGGTGGTTGCTCAATGGTTTGATCCATTTGAACACATGAGATGCGAATTGTGCAAGTGTACGTATACCCTTTACTTGAGTTCATTGTAACTTGAGTCTCTAACCGACAGTTCTTTGAGTTTTATCTTGTGTATGTACCTTTGAAGCAGGCTGGATGTTGTGTTTAAACGTGATGTTCTTGGTTAAGTAGGAGGATTTTCCCCAGGTATGTGTTGGATTGGCCATTGATAGGTTAAAAGGTTAAATGGATTGGGATAAGAAGATATTGATGTTCAGATTTTGGGATAAGGAATGTGAAACTGGATAAGATACAACACATGTCAACTTCCTTAGTTGTTGGCACAATCATCGACTATTTTTTCTGTGAGATTCCACCTCGGTTGGAGAGGGGAACGAGCATTGTTTATAAGGACGTGGAAACCTCTCCGTTTTAAAAATCTTGAGGGGAAGCTTGAAAGGGAATGCCGACAATATCTTCTAGAGGTGGGCTTGGGCTTACAAATGGTATCAGAGGCAGAACCGGGAGGTGAGGAGGCTGAGCCCCGAAGGGGGGTGGACACCAGGCGGTGTGGTGTGCCATCGAGGAGGCTAGACCCCAAAGGGGAGTGGATTGGGGGTCCCACGTCGATTGGAGAGGGGAACGAGTGCCAGCGAGGATGCTGGGTACCGAAGGGGGTGGATTGTGAGATCCCACATCGGTTGGAGAGGGAACGAAACATTCTTTATAAGGGTGTGAAACCTCTCCCTAGCAAACACATTTTAAAAACTTTGAGGGGGAAACTCGAAAGGAAAAGCCCATTAGAGGACAATATATGCTAGCAGTGGACTTGGACTATTACATTTGGATTGCTCATTCCAGAACTGATGGAACGAATATGCTAACCAGTATGTAGTCCACCACATGATTGGCGTGTATAATATATAGACATCATAATTTCATATGTATTATTAATTTTAGTTACATTTTTTCTCTTAACATGTCATATTGCACACGTCATGTTAATATTTTTCGTACTCGAGAAACGTTTAAGGGTACTC